CCGCTAGTGAAGCTGTCTACTCTGGTCCCATCTCCCGTAAAGGTATTCCTTATTCCGACTGTTATCCTGTTATTCATTCCTCCATCCTTGCCCGTTGGCAGGGTTGTTTGTCCTCTGTAGTTAGTACCAAGCTGCGTACTCTCAAACATAGTGTCCCCCTGTGGCCTTCCTCCTACCACCGTAACTGACGGTGGGAAACTGCTTTGGCAAGGCTGTGGATTGGCCATACTCGCTTAACCCACGGTCACTTAATGGAGCGTCGCCCTGCTCCTTATTGTCCAAATTGCGTTGTCCCTCTTACAATTGTGCATATCCTTGTTGAATGTCCTGACTTCCAGGACGAGCGTGTGTTTTGCTTTCCGACTGTCCCTCACGGTCACTTGTCCCTCGATAGAATTGTAGGTGAATTGGATACTTTTGATATCATTCGCCTCATGCATTTTTGTTCTTGTATTGGCATTCTTGGTGATATTTAGCACACTCTGATTATTTCGCACTTTGATGGTGCTATATAGCCTTCCCGGTTTGGTGCCTTCTTTTGATAATTACCTTACCTTACCTTGGATACACAACAAGGCGTTAGCGGGTGATAGTGTTTCAGAGGCCATCATTTGTGAGAAAGCCTGGGTATTGCACGAAGACCTTGTGAAGAAAACCCCTGGAACGAGTGCAGATACAATAGATTTTAAGGCAAGCAGGGGATGGTTTGAAAAATTTGTAAAAATTTAGAAAAAGAATGTGATGCCTCACTACAGAGACATCTTGCGAAGAAGGGAAAAACAATCTTCCATGGACAGAGTTGTTGTGAGAAAATCGAGCAGTGAGCCACAACCAGGACCTAGTGGTATGCAGGCAAAACGTGCCAGAGAAAACACCCCAGATAGGTCCTCACTGCCTGATGTTGTTATGGAAGGGGACTCCCCTTCCAAACAGTAACATCTCTCCTCCCCCTCCTCACCATCTTCCATACGTCAACAGCAGTCATCAGCAAGGGTAAGTAATAACTTGAACATAGTTTTGTAGGTTTATTTAGATGAATTAGGTATAAAATTTAGTTTGAAGTGAAGTTTTTGGGTAGTCGGGAACGGATTAATTCATTTCCCATTATTTCTTATGGGGAAATTAGCTTCAGTTTACGAGTTTTCGGAATACGAGCTATCTCCAGGAATGGATTGAACTCTTAAACCGAGGTACCCCTGTATATGGATGGTGAAATTCTAAAGAAACTGTTCATAACTTTTGTGAGACCAAAAATGGAATATGCAGCAGTTGTGTGGTGCCCAAATCTCAATAAGCACACAAATAAACTGGAAAAGGTGCTACTAAATGCTACTTTTGGCATGCTACAAAATGGCTTCTGGAACTGAAAAACAAGAGTTACGAGGAGAGACTGGAGGCGTTAAATATGCCAAAATTAGAAGATAGAAGAAAAAGAGGAGATATGATGACTACTTATAAAATAATAACAGGAATTGACCAAATTGACAAAGAGGAATTCCTGAAACCAACAACTTCAAGAACAAGAGGACAGAGATGTTGTGTAAAGATACCAAAAAGTATTATAAGTTTCTTTTGCAAACAGAGTGGTAGACGGTAGGTGAAGTTAAGTGAGAATGTGGTGGAGACCAATACCATCAGTAATTTCAAAGCGTTATATGACTGAGTACTGGGAAGATGGAACACCACGAGCGTAGCTCTCATCCTGTAACTACACTTAGGTAATTACACACACACACACACACACATATGGCAGTTAATATTATAATTGAGAGGACAGCTTCTGTTGCCTGTAGAAATCGATCCCATCTATCATAGGAGATTTCAACTACCGAAAGATAGACTGGGAGAACAAGGAACTGTATGGAGGTGAAGAAACATGAGGAACTAAGCTATTGGAAGTGGCAACAAGAAACTTTTTAAGCCAGCATATCAGGGGACCCAAAAGAATGAGAGGCAATAATGAACAAACGAGACTTGACCTGGTATTCACTCTGAACGACTCCGTCATAAGGGAAATTGACCTCGAAGTTCCTCGTGGGAATGAGTGATCACAGTTTACTGATGTTTGAGTATCTGGTCAAAGTAGGGTTAATGTACTCAAGGAAGGGACGAGGAAACACGAGGTTGGGCATTCCGAATGGGAAACTACGAAGATATAAGAAAATTCCTAACAGATATAAGATGGGAAACAGATCAGAGGATAGACTGCCCAAAACATGATGGACTACATCATGCAGAAGTGTAAGGAGGCAGCAGGCAAGTTTGTCCCAGTTCAAAAGGAAAAAAAATGCAAATGAGGAATTTGCTAATTAGCAAATTCCCTGATTAAATGAGGAGTTTAATCAGGGATGTAAGCTGGCAAGACAACTAAGTACAAGGGCATAGAGAAACTATAGAAATATCAGCACACTAGAGAGCAGAGAAAGATACCAGAGGGCCAGGAATGAGTACCTCATGGTGAGAATAGAGGCAGAAAGACTGTATGAAAATGACATAGCAAGAAAGGCACAGACTCAACCTAAATTGCTGCACAGCCATATCAGAAGGAAAACAACAGTAAAAGAACAGGTAAAGAAACTGAGGATAGGGGCAGACAGGTTCACTACAAATGACAAAGAGTTGTTTGAGGAACTCGATATGAATCTCCAGGAGGTCTTCACATTAGAGCAAGGAGAAGTTCCAGAGATAAGAGAGGAATATCTTACCATGTACCACTGGAGAAGTTTGAGAATACCAGTGGGGAGGTAGGGATGCATTTGTTTGAGTTTGATGTGACAAAGGCTATATGGTTGGATGGAATCTCACCATGGCTACTAAAAGGAAGAGGAGATGTACTGTGCCTGCCACTCGCAATGATGTGTAAGAAATCACTGGCAACAGGAGAACTGCCCAAAATTTGGAAGACTGCTACTATAGTCCCAATATACAAGAAGGTTGACAGACAGGAGGCACTTAACTACAGGCCAGTGTCCCTAACTTGAATACCATGAAGGTGATGGTGCAAAATAGGCGAGGGATTTTTTTTTTTGTGCGACAAAAAAAAAAAAAACTGACAAGACAGACAAGGGTTGGTAGACTGCATATTTTTGGATTGCCAGAAAGTCTTTGACATAGTACCCATAGGAAACTAGTGCACAAGCTGGAGATGCAGGCAGCAGTAAAAGGGGAAGATACTCCATTGGATAAGGGAGTTCCTAAGCAACAAAAGACAGTGAGTCACTGTGAGGGGTGGGGGATAGGTCTCAGAGTGGCGAGGTGTCACCAGTGGAGTCCTACAGGGTTCAGCCCTTGGAACTATCATGTTTCTGATATATGTAAATGATCTTCCAGAGAGAATAGACTTGTTCCTCTCAATGTTTGCTGATGATGCAAAAAATATGAGGAGGATTAAGATCAAGGAAGATAGCAAGATGCTACAAGATGACTTGAGACACTGAAGGAATGGTCAAATAAATGGCTGCTAAACTTTTACCCAAGTAAATGTAAGGTAATGAAACTAGGCAGAGGGAACATGGGGCCAGACGCTGGATACTAAATGGGAGATGACGTTCTCCACGAAAAGGACAAAGAGAAAAATATAGGAGTTGATACACACCGAACGTGTCTCCTGATGCACACATCAAAGAATATCATTAGTGGCATATGTAAGGCTAGCTAACTTTAGACCTGGCTGCAAAACTGTTTGTGTAAGGAATCATTTAGAACTTTGTATACCACATATGTAAGACGTATACTGGAGTTACAGTGGAACCTCGACTTACGAATGCCCCTCTTTACAAATTTTTTGAGTTACGACCCCAATTTCGTCGGAAAATTCGACTCGACTTATGACCTTTGCCTCGACTTGCGACTTTGTTGATACACACGAGTCGACCGAGCGCGTGGTTCCTGGTGGCACGGGCAACCCCGCTTCGGTTTACCAGAGCCGCCCACTTAGTGACGATTGCGCTTGAATTCATTGTAAAGAATTTCATCGTTTTTGTGCTTTGTTGTTTTTTGAACACAAAAGTAATTATTATATATCATGCCATGGGTCCCAAGAAAGTCAGTGGTAAGGTTCAACCTAAGAAAATAGTTGTGAGTAGAGGCAGTAGAGTATGTCCCTTCCTCATTAAGAAAATGTGTGAAGTATGGGAAGAACTGCAAAGTTTTGTTGAAAAAACTCACCCAGATAAAGCTGTAGCAGGCCGTTGCATTGACCTTTTTAATGACAATGTGATGTCTCACTACAGACAAGTGTTAAAATGTAGGGAAAAACAAGTGTCTTTAGACAGATTCTTAGTAAGACAAGCAAGCAGTGAGCCACAACCAGGTCCTAGTGGTATGCCTGCAAAACGTAGGAGAGAGAGTACCCCAGAGAAGTCATCACTGCCTGATGTTATAATGGAAGGGGACTCCCCTTCCAAACACTAACACCTCTCCTCCCCCCCCCCTCCTCACCGTCTTCCATACGCCAACGAGTCATCAATAAAGGTAAGCTATAACTTGTACATACTATAGTACAAAATATGTATGTGTAATATGTATGAAATGTATTTTGAAGTTAATATTTTTGGGAGTGTGGAATGGATTAATTCAATTTACATTATATCATATGGGAAAATTGCGAATTTTCGGCTTACGACCCGTCTCTGGGAACGGATTAAATTTGTAAATGGAGGTACCACTGTAATATTATTTTAAGCCATAATGCTGTTAGTATAACCATGTGGGTGTTTTCTAGCAGCACCATGTTACTGTGGTGTAGCTGAGTGCACGGTAACTCTGGAGCACCATAGTCAGTGTACTACAGCACTACTATGTAACTAGGGTGAACCTCATCACTCACTGTACGGCAACAGTCAAATACTTGAGCGTCTCCTAGCTTTTAATGTGCTACCAGATTTCTAAATTGTAGTCTTATGAGTTTCTTTTGTTTTCAATTAATTACTGGGTTATTTATTAATGATAAAAGAGTGTGACTAACATTAGTATGGTTGTGGCCTGGCATCCCCATGCAGGAGGCCATTACACAGGAGGGCTCAGGAGAGGCCATCAACCAGCTATACATGACCACCATGCGCAAGTATGAAGCCATCAAAGATGAGTACGATTCACTCAGAAAGAGGTATTCAGAATTAGTTGCTGCACATTCCAACAACATCTCCAAATTGGAACTTACACAGGTTTGTTCATTAATTTATTTTATATCCAAAGTGCATAAGATATCCCAACTGTGTTTTATATAAGATAGTTTTAAGAACTTGCACATGATGATGGTTTCCCCCCCCCCTCCATTGCGACTATTGTACATAAAGTAATAGGTAGGTCAACAATAGAGAATATAAATATTCTGGTATGGGTTATGTATATCTTCACATTAAATAGCAGAAAGCCCTTTGAGTTGCATTGTGAAATAAAGTAAAACTACTTGAAAATAATGCAAAAGGCGGCAACATTGGCAGGAGAAGTGAGGGTAAAGACCTTCTTTGTTTCTTAACCCTCAAAGTGCAGTTGTCTTTATATGTTGATTCAGGAGTAATGTGGTTACGGTCATATGTCGACTTAAACTATTATTGTCTGGGGTTTATACCAATGGTACTAGTGTGGATACAAAAGCTCTATATGAATGTAGTAGAGTTTACCTTGGCCCCCTGGAAAATCTTTCTATCATTTTATAATTGCTTAATATGCAAATGTGGTCATCATTGCAGGTGTTGCTATGGTAAGGCAGTAATTGCCATATATGAAATTATATTGTAATTACATGCATACTGATTATGTTTATAGTTTTCACAACTCTAAATGGTTGTAATGAAGTATAACAGGTTACCTAATCCTCATTTTCTTTGAAAGAAACTACAGAAGGAACATTATCCCATATGAGGCAACTCCTATATATTACCCACAAAAACTCGTTCATATATATGAATGAGTTTGAGTCAATATAAATAGAACTTAGCTTGTGTGGGTAAGTAGGCTACCTACAGTCCCCTTAATTCTTAGGTCCTTAATTCATTCATATGTTCATTCCATTCATTCATTCATTTAGTGATGCATATCAATGAATGAACTGTATGAATACATCGATGAATGAATGCATGTACAGTGTATGTATATATCAATACGAACATAAAATCTAAGGGGACTGCAGAAAGCTTAATGGGCCATTCAAGGCAGGTCATATTAATATCCACCCAGACACATTGATATAAGGGCCTTTCCACCCATTCACCCATACATGGGTGGAAATAAGAGTCTTTATTGTATTGACTAATAGCCCTTCTGCTGTCCCCATACTTCTTATGTTCTTATTGATACATGCATACATACACGCATATAAATTGCCATCCACACTTCCGTGGAAATAAACATACCGTTCACCTGGGCTGTATGGATCTCAAACTGTGGACCCCACGCATGTGAGGTCAACGCTCTACCAACTGGGCTATGAGCAGTCTTAAAAAGGAAAGTTTCAGTAGTACTCAGGGAAAGTAAAAAATTCCAATTTGGCAGCAGGATGCTGCTTCTGGAAACATTCCTTTTTAAGACTGTTCATAGCCCAGTCAATAGAGCTACGGCCTCATTATGTGTGAGGTTCACAGCTCGAGACACATACAGTCCAGGTGAATGGAATACATGCATACATATATTCATTCATTTATTCTAGGTCTAAATACATTATTCTTATAGTTAGTAATGTAATCAATCCCTGTTTTTGTAGATTACATGTACATAAATCTCGTTATTCAACACAAATACTGTAGTGAATGAACTAAAAAGTGAAGAAACATCATAGAGGTCATCAAAAGTATCCTCTGTCAGGTGCTGTGCCAACAAAAAGTGAGATCTGGTGTTGACAGATCTGGCTGGGCACACCACACTTGCCAACCACCTACAGCTCGCCTAGCCACTAAAATGATAAATATTTACATTATTTTAACTTTTCCTTACATTTTGCACACACATTAATCATTCTATAAGGGAAAATATTTTTATTTTATTTTATTTTTCTGTGTGGGAGACCCTTTGGCTCCCTGGAGCTTTCAGGCTGATGTGTGTTATATTAGTCTCGAGCATCAATCAATTGGAGTTCAGCCTACCAGGGACCACGAGCCAGAACCTGGGCCCCTCAGAGAGGCAAAGGGAGCAATGGCCTATGGAAACTCCATGTATTTGGAGGTATTCCATATCTGGTATCGACCAGGATTGGCACCCAGAAGGGTAGGCATAACAACAGATGGTAAGAAAATTGCAACTGAAGACCAAACAGAGGCAGAACTCCCCCTATTTAAAGAAACAAGCAAACACCACACTCTGCCGCCGCACCGCTTGTCCACACAGACCCCCTCTCCCTGGGGGGAGGGGGGCCCCCTGACCCCACCTGCGCCGGCTACCCAACAATTCCAGTTCGTTGACTGATTTGGTCCGGGGCAGATGTTGACTCTGGCCTCAGATTCAGGGCAGTTGTATACCTTAGTGGTGTGTTCTGCTGTGTTTATGTGTGTGTGTCTTTAGCAGTTTGTCTTTGTCTTTAGTAGTTTTCCATTGTTAGTTTGTAGTTTGGCCCTAGCCGGTTTTGCAGTACCTTGCCTGGGCTTCCTGTAGCAGTCAGCCTGCGGGCCCTGGAAATCCCCATTGGGGCTCATTACGCCAATGGATGCATCTTCCGAGTTCCACCTCGCCTTGTGCGAGTTTGAAGGTTGCTGTGTGCCCTTATCTCCGTGTGACAGTCACCGTTTTTGCCTCTGTCATGCTGCCTGTTGAATCGATGACACCTTTGACCTGGAATCTTGAGAGTTGTACTCTCTGCTTGTTCTCCAATTTACCCATTCTGATGACATTGACGTTCGGGTACAGGCAACATCCGCGTTGCATGTGGGGTTTAGGTTGCTGCAACGTGCTTGATTGGTTACCCACCCAGATGCCCCGAGGCTGCCACGTTTTGGTTATAGGGACCCGGACTTGGGGGTGATAGGCACCTCAACTTTGGATTCCCTATTCTGGTTGGGGACGGAGGTATTGGAGCTGGTTCCTCCTGCCAAGGCTTCTGGGTCCCACTAGCAGGCCCCCTTCCTTTCTGCCTTTTTCCCTGGACTCTGCCTTTTCTTCAGGGGTAGAGGGTAAGGAGGACTGCTCTACCCCGGGTCCTGGTTTGGAGGATCCCAGGACTGGGGAGGAGTTGACTTGGGGGGTTTGGGGCCCCCCTTTGACCCCGCTTGAGTTTTGGTGCCCTCTTCATGGGGTTTGTTGCAGGGGAAGGTTTTTTTTTTTTAACCCCCCATACATGTATGAGTATGATTTGGGATTGGCTCCTCCCTGGGTTCAATTCCGGGTTCCTTTGGGTTCCTCGGTTGCTTCTTTCCGGAGGTTTTCTGCCTTTTAAGGATTAAACCACATGGAAAAAAATTGGCCAATGTTGAGTTCCCATGGTGGTGATGAAATGTGGAGAGTAAAACTTAGTGCATACAGTAAATATATATTTCTTGAGGCAACACATTGTGTAGTCAACAGGGAAATGAGAAGTTGAGACAGCAACACTAGATCTTATGTTCATCTAGAATGAGGCAAACATTGAGAAGAGAGATACTAAAAACCATTGAGAGCTAGTGCTGCTGCATCATAGTGTTTCAACACATAATCAAGTTGAAGGAAAAGAATAGATTATGTAGGACATGACATTAGAGAGAGATATGACAGTCAAATTTGGCTGGTGACTAGAGACAAAAGACACATCATTACTGGAAAGCTATTATTAAGAAAATCAAATTAGAACTGCATCATTAGAGGAAGATAGCTACAGGAATTGAAAAGAAGAAAGATTTGGAAGAAGTCATCACTAACCCCTCTCACCCACTGTTATCTTTTAGGTAGACAGGCTTAGGTTAGGGTATGTTTGTAACATATGTATTGCTGTTCAAGTCTCTACCTCATACTGAGGTTCGGGAATTCTTAGGACCTACTGTAAACTATGGTATAGTATTTCCTATACTGTTTTGTTAACTATTGCTGCTCAAAATGCAGATGGGCTTAATTTTACACTGTGCAGTTTTGCAAGGTGCAAAATAGAGTTCTCTTTAACTCTGAGTGTAATCTTTGCTACCTTCAGGAGTCTTCCTGATGGGTACAAGGTCGCACTCACCCTTGGACATGTACCTTTTATAAAATAAAGTAAGGGCTGTGACAATCTCGACAGTCTCCATATGATGCAATCTGCTGAGGTCCTGTGTGCTGAAATATCAGTATTGGAGGTTGCAGTCCTAAGTTAATGTGGGGCTCCTTGCAGGCTTCTCACTCTATTTCTATAGAAGGTAAACTATCTGCTTCAAGACTGGAAAGGTGCTGCTTGTTCCCATTTTCTGAGCGCTTCATCTGCTATAGTGTGGGTGCTACTGTCTGCTACTGTCTGGGTGCTAGGTCTGCTACTGTCTGGGTGCTAGGTCTGCTACTGTCTGGGTGCTAGGTCTGCTACTGTCTGGGTGCTAGGTCTGCTACTGTCTGGGTGCTAGGTCTGCTACTGTCTGGGTGCTAGGTCTGCTACTGTCTGGGTGCTACATCTGCTACTGTCTGGGTGCTAGGTCTGCTACTGTCTGGGTGCTACGTCTGCTACTGTCTGGGTGCTAGGTCTGCTACTGTCTGGGTGCTAGGTCTGCTACTGTCTGGGTGCTAGGTCTGCTACTGTCTGGGTGCTACGTCTGCTACTGTCTGGGTGCTACGTCTGCTACTGTCTGGGTGCTACGTCTGCTACTGTATGGTTGCTTCATCTGCTATTGTGGAGGTCAGAAAGCAGGTAGCTTCCCCGTTTTCTCCTCTTCCCACACTTTCTGTTGCTGCAAGGCCTAAATAGTTTCTTTGCTAATACAGGTTCTTAGGGATGAGGGGAAAGTCGAGTTCTTGGTTTTTTTACCTTGAGCCTTGGCCAGCACCATTCCATTTTTTCCATTTCTAGATAGGAGGAGTGGTCTTTTTCTCATCATAGAACATCAATGGCTATCATGGGGCTGGGGTAATATCACAATAACATCAGAGAAGTGATGACAGTATTTATTACATTAAAATGCATCTTCTTAGTGTCTCCATTCTCTCCCTTTAAACTTGCAGCGCTCATTTGGTGCATTGCCTCAATTGAAGTTAAAAATTCACCACCTTGAAGTTGTCCTTCTCTATGCCCTGTGCTGACTTCAGG